GCGCTACCTATACTATCGATCGATTACCTAAGATAACGTTTCACGCGTAAGGTGGAATTTCGCGGAATTTTAATATCACAAAATATATATTGATTTCTACGAAGTGACGACGACTTTTTATTACAAAGGGTTATTCACCTTTAGTGGCCACCTTGTGAAGTCTGTGTTGGTTCGACATATATATATATATAATAATTAAACTAATAGACGACTTAGAAAGTGAAAATAAATCCTGAACTAACATAAATAGTTGTCAGTCTCTTAATTGTTGCACTTTTCCAGTTCACTCGCTCCATGTACAGCGCTGTCTACAATATTGGTTTGTGGGACAGGTGCATGTATAGGTATATGATTGAACTAAGTGTAATTATTTAACGAGCAAATGTGCGATAAGAAAACGTACATGTTCTCAATTACATTTTGTTTCCAAAGATATGAGGTAACAATATTTTCTTTGCTGAAATCTAACCGTTTTTTGTATAAATTATAGTAACTGTACATATAACGCTCGACAGCAATACAATGTTTCGCCGTGAAACGTAATTCTCAACCAGTCATCGCAGAATTAGGCCTTAAAGTCACCATAACTCGGAATTTGGTGTTGTTGGGCACGACGGAGAGTCATGTAACAATGTCAACATTTCTGTGTTTAGTGTTGTTGTAGGGCATCTTAGCTAGTTAGGACCCCTCTATATGCATAAAGCCGGGAACAGTTACTGGTGACGTTGTATAGTTTCAAAGTCTTTAGTGGCTCGCAAAGGTTGACTTATAACTGCTGCACTTGTTACTTTGGCGACCAATTTAGTATGGTAGAAAGCGTGTACAGTCATGAGTTACCGTACCAACTATACCAAGGCATCAAGTGTTCGTCGATCTTGGAAGGGTAATGCCACATTCCCGCTGTAAACTGTCGGTGACTTTCCCTGTGTTGTTGACATTGATAAATGTTGGCCAAGTCTGTAGATCTACTTCTACACACACTTCCAGTGCGGAGATTTTTTGACGGTCATGTTAAATGGGTCCTCTCAATCTTGTATAGCAATGTTGAACAAACCATATTTTGGTATTTCTGTTTATCTGTTCGTTATTTAAGTAATAAATAGGTAAAATCTATAAATCAAACTGAATTGTTAACTTTTACATACGTACATAGTGACCATTCTTCTTTTTTTATTTCATTAACATTTTTAGCAAATGCGTAATATTCTTTTTGAAGTAACTTTTAAAACACTTTGAAATATCTCTGATTTATTCAACATTGATCTTTTGACGTAGCAAAGTTGTGGCTATCAGCCCTATGTGAGAATGATGCTGCTTCTTGACAAATATCACAAATAAACTTAACTTTAATGAAAACAGAATAGAATGTCGATAGACATACTCTCTGATACAATTGATGCATGTGGTGCACAACTTGTGAATTCAAGTGCAAGTACAATATAGCCGCTTAAGATAATTACGATTTAGTTTTGGTATGTGACGACACTTACGTATCGTGCTCCTCTGTTATTAGCATGTTCCTCAGTTAATACACGTACTCTATTATTCTTAGAATAATATAACATAATAAAACATCAAACAGGAACATGATAACAACAAGAACATAGATTTTCACCTCGTGTACCTTGATCTTTATTTACGATGACATGTATAAGGTAAACAGAAATACAAGTCATTGTACATGTACAAGTAATTAAACGTTACACAATCAACCAATTATACCAGTGGTAGTGGATGTTGTGGTAATTTTTTTTCTTGAAATAATTCATAATAATAATAGTAGTAATAGTTTATTCAAATGTCTAAACCTCCGCCCATCACATGAATCATATTAATACAAAATTAAACAAATACATCACTGTAAATAATTTGCAATGAGGACATACCATACTATACAGGAGTTACTGTTAAAGGAAAACACTTTGTTTAAGGTGCCGAGAAATCATACATCATTCCGAGAATTGGGTTGTTTCTACATAAACTTGAAACTGAAAGCGCCTACAATCCCACCTACGATGCTATTACAGACTGCAGTGATTGCGGAACGAACAAACTGTGAAGGTGTCTGGTTGGTCATTTAGTGATCGATCACAGAAAGCAGGTGTGATATGAAAGCTAAGCCGTTTTGATAAATGGCAGGCTGACTTTTTATATCTGTACACATATCTCGCAAATCATCGTAGCTTATGTAAGTTGGCAAAGTATTCTGAATTAATGCAAGATAAATGCCTACCAGAGCCCCCAAACACATCCCAATTACAATATGACGAATATTCATTCTATCAAGCACAGAGTATGCGATACATTTGTGGAACGGCATCCCATATGAATCCAGTCTGACATTAAACTTGTTACGTCTGTTACCAGAGAAGAACATCACCAGCATATCCTTATTCGTACATTCAATTTCGGCATTCTTCAATACCTAAAAGTATGGAAAACGAATTACTTGACTCACATCAGGCAATCCATAATGAAACTCAAATTAAAACTAACAATGTTCATTTTGTTTTTCGTGCTTTTTTGCCCGTGTGTGTGTGTGGGTGTGCGTGCGTGTGTGTGGTATCGACGTTATGACGACTTTCATTTAACGATAGATCTACCAAGTGACGACCCTCCATATTCTCATAATTAATATTTAAACGGATTTAAGTCAAGTTTGCGCAGCTCAGGTTAAGAGAAGATGAATGTATGGTACAATGTTATTAATATTATTAATATAATTAATGTAATATTAATATTAATTGTACCATAACTGCACTCTTTACTTAACCTAAGTTTTGCAAACATTTCTATGTTAAGTCACAAGGTATTCAACTTTGATTTAATTAAGCTTGAACTAAAACGCAATTCTATGTTGAATTGCATTGTAATTGAGTTCAATTAAACTCCAATTAAAACGCAACTCTATATAGAAACGCGTTTTAATCGCAACTATATTGACAGTTAATTCCACTATATTAAAATTTAATCCAATGTTAAAACGATGGTAAGACGTGCATGCGCGCGTGTGACGTCTTTGTTTTTTTGACGCACTAAGTAAAAATAAGGAATTATTATTACTTCATAAAAGAAATCTGTAAATAATATGTCGAATTCTCGCTTTTTTCTTAATCAACCTTGCGACTTATATGCTCGCACAATTGGTTAATCATTGTCAGTCAACATATACCAAGAACCTGATTCAAGAACCTGGGCCCAGGTGTTAGGTCGTATGAACAGTTTAGTGTATATGTGTGGTTATACGACTATGTGCTGCATTTGGGCTATATTGAATTTGGTTAGAAAAATAAAACCAAATAAATCTAACTTTGATATAGTGAAAATTTAAAATGCATACTTTGTTAGCATGGCGATAATGACTATTTGATTACCTTTATTTTTTCACTATCTCCAGGGCTTCGTCTAACAGTTTGTGATGATCATCAGTCAGTTGTTTCAGACATATACGACGAAGATAGTCTATGTCAACACAAGAGATAGTAGGTTTGCATTTTTCCTCTTTATAGATCTGAAATACGAGCGTAGATAGTTTATGAAAATAGTAAACCTGATAATTTAGAGCACATTTTGTCTGCACTAAAAAGAACAGAACAGAACTAAATGACTACGAACACACAATGAACATTGACAGTTTACTGCACGAAAACATACATTATCACAATTGTATACATAGTTGTGTGGGTGGTAACGACAGTTTGTGTGGTGATATTTTGTGATATTTATCACCAAGGCTTACGAAGTTAGTTGTCTACGACATCAAAACACATAGATATCATACCCACAATGATTCCTGCATATTGTCCCATGGCATTACCCCCAAACACAGTAATTACATAATTGTAGATGCCACCCTTATGGTTGGCGTTATTTGTATCAGATTGTCAGTTAAGAAATTATACAAGGTTGTACGCATGTGTATTGTGTTCATTTAGTTTGTATTGCATGTTCCTTTTTTATACCAGGATCCAAATAATGTTTTTAGGTGACAGCTAGCAATTGAATGTGCAAAGAATGCTCACACTTATGCAGACTGCATAGTGAATCGGGTATATTTAAACGACTTAAGGGACACTAATCTATGTAGGGCGTTAATCAACTGTGGTTATAACTTGATGCTAATTAGTATAAATATGGTGTCCCACTGTTCGTATCTTATCTACGAAGCATAAACTATTCAAATATGTACAAACACTCAACAGTTACTGTGGTACTAACCTGAGTAAGCGCCATATTCTTCTCAAACAGCAAGTAAAATGTTGTTTCCTGCAAACAAAATAATTACAGTAGAAACAGAAATAGGCAAGACAAATCAAGTTTATAAACAGCAATAATAATGAAATAAACTGAAAAAATCACAGTTAGAGAGACAAACCTGCTCTGAGACCAAGATGTCTACGGCATTGATATTTGCCGGTATTTATAAGAAGTATTCAGAAAAAAAGCTCATGATACATAACTATAAAAATTCAGACAGCATGAGTCAACCACCTCTTTCAAATGTCATCCCAATGTGTAATTTCATTGTCTATACTTTGTGTTGAGTTTGCAGAGGCAGAAGAATGCAGAAGTATTTGTCTATCCCTAACCTTGAAAAACACAATACCACAATGGTAGTGGCTCAAGCGGTAATACACTTGTCATTTAAGATGATATCAAACCCACGTCTAATTGACAAGATTCCACTAAGCAGTAACAGTTCTGAAGGCTCCAAGCCGATGCTGCTCAAAAACAGGTGTTATAAAAGTAGGCCTATATATTTCAACGGAAAGGAAAGGTTAAACTTAGACTTACCTGTATGGATTTTGGTAACAGACTCACAGTTGCCGCACTATTTGCTTCGATGTGTTCGCGATATTCTGTGTTTACATATAGTCTCGTTACTAAGGCTAGGTTAAACTTCTCAGAATATCAATGTCAGACCTAAGCATGCACACTGATTTCTACGAAGTGGTGACTGTTGTTTCCACGTCATAACCCTTACACGTATTATACGCATTGCTACCTAACCCCTGCATACAAACTGATACAACAGAGCGAACAGAAAGCAACATTGAAAAACAGTGCCTCATTATTTAGGTAAGTGTATTCGTGAATAGTAATTTGCTTTACTTGAAATTGCTTTGCAATAAACGTCAATGAAATGAAAATTACTAAATATATACATATGCCTTTCAGCGGGAATTGTATAGAAAACAAAAACGTAAAACGCTTCAATCAGTTCAACCAGTGGTCATGTGGACCTGGAAAATAATTTAGAACTTATTTTACTCACTCAAAACAAAGTAGTCGTATTTCAACATTGTTCCATTGCATTTTGCTGCCTTCTTGGGTAGGGACATTTTTTATTGACCGCTCAATTAAACCAACCCTTGAATTCATACCTGTGTATACACACTGATTTCTACGAAGTGGTGACTGTTGTTTCCACGTCATAACCCTTACACGAATTATAAGGCGTTGCTACCTAACACCTGCATACAAACTGAGACAACATAGCGAACAGAAAGTAACGTTGAAAAACAGTGCCTCGTTATTTAGGTGAGTGTATTCGCGAATAGTAATTTGCTTTACTTGAAATTGCTTTTCAATAAACGTCAATGAAATGAAAATTACTAAATATATACATATGCCATTCAGCGAGAATTGTACAGAAAACAAAAACGTAAAACGCTTCAATCAGTTCAACCAGTGGTCATGTGGACCTGAAAAATAATTTAGAACTTATTTTACTCACTCAAAACAAAGTAGTCGTATTTCAACATTGTTCCATTGCATTTTGCTGCCTTCTTGGGTAGGGATATTTTTTATTGACCGCTCAATTAAAACAACCCTTGAATTCATTCTTGTGTATACACACAAATTTCTACGAAGTAGTGACTGTTGATTTCATGTCACATCTCTTCCACGTAATAAAACGCGTGTTATGTAACTTCTATATACAAACTGAGACAACAGCGCAAACAGAAAGTAACATTGAAGAACAGTGTCTAGATATTCAGGTTAGTACAAGTGTGCATAGGAATTTGTTTCAATTAAAATCGTAATTGCTTTTCAAAAAACGTGTACCAATGATTAGCTCAAAATGACTCGGAGCCGGAGTTTTTTAGTGTGTAAGTTATTGTTTTATTTTATGTGACATCAAGGAGGAAATAAGTATATTTCATGATTAAGGCAAAGAAAGTATATTTATGCTCATTTTAAATGTTGATAGGATTAGAAAGCCGACCCATGTTTTCTAGTTTAACTTAAGGGACCAACTATTTAGATTGATTTATTTAAACACTCAACATGAAGTCTACATTTTGTAATATCAATTTAAAATGCATATAACATCACGGTACTAAAAAAAGACAGTAATAATGTTTAAGTTAGAAAAGGTATACATGTTAGTTTTGCGGTTATAAAACAATCCCAAAGCAAATTCAGAAAGTGCTGATTGCAGAATAACAGGAAGTAGCACAGTTATTTTTCCCCGAGAACAACCTCTCCCGATGTGCTTGCATTAATTGTCAGGTTGAAAATAGCATACCGTAATGAATATGAATGTAAAATACAATGGCATTTTAGGCGCTTAGCCCGTACGAATCGTTTATGCACACTTCGTTAGCTCGTGCTAAGTATCTGGACCGGACCTTGAAACGGGGCATTTTTAACACGGGTTAATTTATTGGATCTCTCATCCCGTGCTAACGAGCTGTGCGTGAACGCTAGTATTGACTTGTTTAAAATAGGAATGGCAGCAGTAAATATACTTACAAATATGTTATTACATTATCGGTTGTTCAAAAAAATAGATATATCCTTATCAGTTATTTTGTGTTACATTATCGGTTGAAAAAAATCGAATACGTTACCAGTTATTTCATGTTATATTACGATTGCTTTTTTGTTACATTATTGGTTGCGAGTAGTTACATTATGGGTTTTTATTACAATATCGGTTAAATCCTGTTACATTATCGGTAATTATCACATTATCGGGTCCAACAAGTGCAGCAGATAAGATTGTTTTGAAGAAAAGAAAATATAACCGCATTACACCTGCTTTGATTTCTCTTCACTGGCTTCCAGTGAAATGTCGGATTATATACTATATTATTGTTATTGGTATACAAAGCCTTCTACGGAATGTGGAATCAGTTATTACTTCATAAAACGCAATGCAAGTAAATCAACTATTATTATTATTATTATTATTATAATTATATTACAGTTTCCAAATGGATCGTACAATGTATACTAAAGAATGGAAACATGCACTGGATGAACTGCCTTTTAAAGATATAGACCAGATTGTGACAACACTACTTGGTCATGATAATGGCAGCACAGTTTCGGAAGTGCATGCATTAATAGAACAAAAAGGAACTGATTATATGGATGGTAGATTAAAACAACTTGGTTTTACTGATAGTCTAGTGCGGTCACATATAATAGGACGTCTTGAGGTAAGTTATTACAATGAGAAAGTAAATAATATATTGGTATTTTGAATTATTAATAACCTATTTTGCAAAACTTATATACATGTTATGAAGTAGGCGCTAATTCTAAAAATTGCAAAATTAGACATTACATATTTTTTTATTTGGAATCATCTATTACATATGTTAATTATGAATCGATGTTCTGTTCCATAAATTATATGCTAATTACTAGTTCATCTGGATTATTGTTTCTAATATCAACAAATATAATTATAATTCTAACTACCTATGTTTTTACTTCCATTTGATTTGGATCGTGTTTTTGCCATGCTCCTGTTTATCACGAATCATTCTGTACCCGAACCCTTTAGAGATCAACGTACATTTGGACTGGGTCCAGTTTAACGCTTAAATATTCTAAACATACATTGTCATGAACTTCTGTATATTCTCTTTATCATGATGGTGTGAAAGTTAATTAATGTTTTTTGTGTCTTCACGTTTTGATTCTTCTGTGATTTTTTTTTGCCCGGGCCGATTTCACTGTAAATTGGCAGGCAGGCAGGTCAATCTAGTTAGGTGGTAACAAATACTTTCTTTGAATACTTTCGATCATACTGGTCTTGTAATGGCAGTGTTCAAATGATCATGCTTTTTATTTTGGCTAAGTTGGCACCTACGAGAAATCATCGGTGCTGACATTGTTAGACTGTATCCACGTGACTTGATGTTTCGTTGCTTGATGCGATGATGATGTATTTAAAACAAAGCTAGAATGAAACTATGGTCTACCATGCTAGATATCTATTAATTGCGCAAATGTGGCCAGAATAAAATGTAAAAACAATATCACAGAAACAAGCAGAACAAATGTTCACATAATTGTTTTTTTACAAGTTTAAGTTAACTCAATTTATGATCAATTAATACATGTATTTAGTGAGACTCGTATGTTTGTTCTGTAAAACGCTCAAGTTAGTGGTTGGCGCTGATTCTATATAACAATTTCTTTATATTAATTAATTCTAAAAAGTGAGGCCTTAAGAACATGTTTTTTTATAGTTAAGTATCATAAAATGATAACACAAAAGTTGTGTTTGAAACCTTTTGACTGCTAAATATGCCAATTTTATTACATGGCGCTGAAATTCTGACACAAGAAATTGAACATTGAACAATTAGAATTGTAAGCTCGGTATGCAAATTAAATATTCTTTTAGGGGTAATCTGCTCTTATTGAATCAACTGAAATACTATAACTTCTTATACACCCACATACATGTGAGCAGTTTTTAGTGACATTCAATCAATATACAGAATCACAGTCACAGAGGCCGAACAAATTAATCAATTAATGTTTATCAACAAAATACTGAAATGCTATTATGGTTACAAACAAACTTTGAAGCCCTTATGGTATTGTGTTCTTTTGAGCAACCGATTATTTAATTAGGTGCCTTGAGTGGACTTCTGACAGATTTTATATTTTTTTTGACAATATTTTCAACTTCCTATTTAAAAAAACATTATTTTTGGTAAATAATACATTCCTAAAAACTGCCAGCTTAATAACATATGGTAAATTAGGTATATTTTCGACATAATGAAACCAACCAGCTGAATTTGTTTGATATTTGATATATATATATATTGAGGCTGGCCGTCTGACAATAATTCAATTCTCTATTTGTTGTCAATTCTTGTGTCATATTAGGTGATGAAAAAGTGAATATTCCACTCTGTAGCTGAAATTATTGTGTTGTTTGCCTGGAATTTTCCTTTACATTCTTTTAATGCTGCTGGCAGCTGTAATTAAATTCAATTTTCCAAGTTTCATTGTTTGTAAACATAAATAAAATCTGTTGATGGTGATTTGAAGATTTATAATGCATTATTAAATGATTAATGATTTCAATAACACATTGATTAGGCAGGAATTTCAGGAATTCTAATGTTCTCACATTTTATTTGTTATAGTTAAACTCCCTGAAAAGTGAATGCAAAGATAAAATTAGTGTCAGTGATATTAAGAATTTTATAAGAACAAAGCGCACATATCTACATCCTGAAGATAGAAGACTGATAGAGGCAGTAGTAACACATGTGATTAATGAGGTTCCATCAGAAGTGAGTATGATTTGATACAGACAGTAACACTGAGGTGTTACTACTAAATCACCCTCCCCTGATTAATCACTCCGCATATTGATGAATAAGGTACACGTGAATGTATTTAATGCACATAGTTCTAAAAGAACATACAAAATAAAAGTCAACCATATCAACTGTTTCCAGGGTAGACATTTGAATTAACTTTGGACAACTAAAATATTTTTTTTACATTTCAAAACGCTCAATTACCCAGGTAGCAATTTCCTAGCAATTTCCACTGCTTGATGTATAGGTCAGTCATGTTGTTTTCCTCAAAAGATGCTTTAGTCATACATACGACATACATGAAAAATAACAAGTTTTTCAGTCAAAGCATCCAGGGGAAACAAATTCCCTAAATTGTTTACATTTTGGCAAAAATCCTAAATGATGGCAAAAAACACACGACTCGTAATAATTATTTAGTTTTTGTATGGTTAGAGGTCAGGGATTGTACGAGAGATAGCCAACAATTAATTCATTGCGACACATACAAACATCATTTTAATCACAACAATCACAAGATTGTGCATGTGGTACACAATTATTTATTTGTAGCGTGTCGTATTGACAGTCTGAGTTTAGTAAATTTCTAGTGGTTTCGAAATTAAATAAATCTCTTAGATGAAAAGTAGTTAATCAACTCATGGGTCCCTGAGGTTGCATGGAATGGTATATAGTGCTACTT